GGGTAGGGGGCGGAGCAGGTTCATCTATCTCCCTCCTCCTGGCTCTCCCCAGCTGCCTGCCTCCCAGTATCCACCCACCCTTTCCTCTTCTGTCCCTGGCTGGTGGGGGTTGGGGTCAGGTGGGGCCAGGCACAGCCCTTGGGCTCAAGGTCTCTTGCTGTTTGTCACCCTTACCTCCAATTCTCCCTGACTATGGAGGAGAGTCCTCGGCCTGCCATGGCCCCTTTTGCCTAGTCAAGGAACAGCCTTCACCCTGTCCCTGTGGCCATCTGCCCTCAGGGTCTCGCTTCTGTTTGAGTCTCACCCCCACCCATCTCACTGTGTCCCCAGGCCCCTTTCTCTGTCCAGCTTGTCCCTTCTTTTTTCTTTTTTTTTTTTTGAGACAGAGTCTCACTCTGTTGTCTGCTGTGGTGTCATAGCTCACAGCAACCTCAAACTCTTGGGCTCAAGCAATCCTCTTGCCTCAACCTCCTGAGTAGCTGGGACTATAGGTGCCTGCCACAAAGCTGGGCTAGTTTTTCTATTTTTAGTAGAGATGGGTCTTCCTCTTGTTCAGGCTGGTCTCAAAACTCCTGAGTGAAGGCAATCTGCCTGCCTTGGACTCCCAGAGTGCTAGGATTGCAGGCATGAGCCACCTTGCTCAGCCCTGGCTTACCCCTTCGAAGTAGTAAGCCTCCTCAGCTCCACCAACTCTTCCTTCAAGTCACTGGAGTCCTCCAGTCTCCCCTCAGGCTACCTCCAGTCTCTTTCTCTGACCTGCTACTCCCATCCCTTGCATCTAGGAGTGCCCCAGACCTCCCTGATGTCTCTGGGCTTTATAACTTTACAGTCCTCAATCTCACTTTTTTGAGGGTGGGAGGAATCTCTTCAGCTGGTCACAACTGCAAAAACTTTAGCTGCAAAGCTCTCAGCGTGTGCCCCACCAGGCTTTCCCTTCACCCTCTTTCCCTGGCTCCCCTCATCCAGTCCATTTACTCTTATTCATCCTCCTAGACCCCTCCTGGCACCAAGCCTGCCCCTTGGTCTCCTTCCATGACCACATCCGTCTCCCAGGGCTGGAGTTCAATGCTTTCCCCCATCCCCACTGGCTGTCTTTGACCGCTAGTAATCCCTGGCAGCTGGGAGGGAGGTTTCCCTGGCCCAGCTCAGACTCTAGGTTGGCCAGCCTTGTGCCCCCTCAACCACGTGGCAGCCTGGGGGTAGGGAGATGGTTGTGAAAGGGACCTCACAGACACGACCCTGGCAGGATTGTGAAATCCCTCTGGCCAACTCAGAGCCTCCAGTCCCTATCTGCCCCAGGCCCTTACTTCCCCGGCTGAGTTCACCACTCCCCAGACATGCACCAGATGTCTGCTCCCCCACCTCATAAAAAAAAAAAA